TTTTGTGTTTCTGGTAATTTTGCGCCTTCAAATCCTTGTGTTTCCATAATATCCCCGCGTTTGACGACTCGTCTTTTTATCTTCCACTATCTTATATACAAAAGACATACATGTTTCTAGAGGTATTTTGGAAGGAAAGGTGTGATTGTCGTACATTTCTAGTATTTCTGAAATATGTTACTTAAATAAAGAAACTAAATATTTAACCAATTAAAAAATTTTCATAAAAAACTAGACACCAGTCAAATAAGATCAATTGAAATAAATAATAAGAAAATTAATTCAACCATTTAGTAGTTGCAATCATGTAGAAAGACTAAGCACGCTCTTCAGTCTCTCCTCGAATAAATCATTTATATAAAGTTATGTATGTCGAGGATTTTGTTGGTTTAAAATTACATTGTTTTAATAATTTCTAAGATAGGGATAACAGAAACCATGTCCTCAATCACAACATTGTCCATAAGAAATAAGGTAACTACCAGAACAACAGGGATGCTGATAATGATGATGATAGCCATGCTGCTGATGATGATAATTATAGCGATGCTGATGATGATGATGATGATGATGATGATGATAGCGATGATGATGATGATGATAGCCATGCTGATGATGATGATGATGATGATGATGATGATAGCGATGCTGATGATGATGATGATGATGATAGCGATGCTGATGATGATGATGATGATAGCGATGCTGATGATGATGATAGCGATGCTGATGATGATGATGATGATGATAGCGATGCTGATGATGATGATAGCAATGCTGATGATGATGATGATGATAGCGATGCTGATGATGATGATAACTCACTGTGTAAATTTTGTTTAATGTTCATAATATCACGCAAGTTTGCGGCGAGTTTGTTTGATAGTACGTAAACAAATACAGCCGCGTCCTCGACAGAAAGTCTGTAAAAAATATGGCTAATTGTCTACAATCTGCATGTCGAGGGCGGATATACAATCCAACCAGATCGTTTCATTCCGTGATACAATAACTGCTGTTATTGCAGTGAAGGTATACGATCTGTACAATAATAGAATTGTCTCCCCTGATACATATATATTTCTTTTATCTCTGTTGATCTCTGAACGTTTCAAAAAAAAAACAGGAAAGAGGAACATCTTGATAAAGATTGAAATGTGACTAAAATTGAAAGAAGATGTTTGATATCGATCATTTTATGAAAGATATATTGAAATATACACCTTTTTCTGAAATAAAAAAATAAAAACCTAAAAATTTAATGATTAGAATTGTTAGAATTTGGTAAACAAATCTTAAAATGACAGATTCGGGGGGATTAATTAGGGTCTTAAATATATGATATTAATCTTCAGAGGAACTAGTAGTGTACACAAATCATATAATTCTTCAGAGTAACTAGTAGTGTACACAAATCATATAATTCTTCAGAGGAACTAGTAGTATACACAAATCATATAATTCATCAGAGGAACTAGTAGTGTACACAAATCATATAATTCTTCAGAGGAACTAGTAGTGTGCACAAATCATATAATTCTTCAGAGGAACTAGTAGTATACACAAATCATATAATTTTTCAGAGGAACTAGTAGTGTGCACAAATCATATAATTCTTCAGAGGAACTAGTAGTATACACAAATCATATAATTCATCAGAGGAACTGGTAGTGTACACAAATCATATAATTCTTCAGAGGAACTAGTAGTATACACAAATCATATAATTTTTCAGAGGAACTAGTAGTGTACACAAATCATATAATTCTTCAGAGGAACTAGTAGTATACACATATCATATAATTCATCAGAGGAACTAGTAGTGTACACAAATCATATAATTCATCAGAGGAACTAGTAGTGTATTTTGTACACAAATCATATAATTCTTCAGAGAAACTAGTAGTGTACACAAATCATATAATTCTTCAGAGGAACTAGTAGTGTACACAAATCGTATCATTCTTTTTAAAACGTCTCAAAATAGGAATTCCTCTTCCGATTTCAGCTGAACCAATCAAATTCCTTCACTCTCTAACAAAATTCCAGCGTCGGGGAGGGCGCATAATTCATCAGAGGAACTAGTAGTGTACACAAATCATATAATTCTTCAGAGTAACTAGTAGTGTGCACAAATCATATAATTCTTCAGAGGAACTAGTAGTATACACAAATCATATAATTTTTCAGAGGAACTAGTAGTGTACACAAATCATATAATTCTTCAGAGGAACTAGTAGTATACACAAATCATATAATTCTTCAGAGGAACTAGTAGTATACACAGATCATATAATTCTTCAGAGGAACTAGTAGTGTACACAAATCATATAATTCTTCAGAGGAACTAGTAGTGTACACAAATCATATAATTCTTCAGAGTAACTAGTAGTGTACACAAATCATATAATTCTTCAGGGGAACTAGTAGTGTACACAAATCGTATAATTCTTCAGAGGAACTAGTAGTGTACACAAATCGTATCATTCTTTTTAAAACGTCTCAAAATAGGAATTCCTCTTCCGATTTCAGGAACCAATCAAATTCCTTCACTCTCTAACAAAATTCCAGCGTCGGGGAGGGCACAAATTTGATTGGTTAAAGCAGGGGTCATCAGGTTAGGTCAAGGGGTTTCAAGAGGGTACTTTTTGGCAGTGCCTCAATAAAAGACGAGTCGTCATTTAAACTTTCAAACACGGATTTGAACACACAAATTTGAAGGCTCAAATTTTGACGGTGACCTGTGAACACTTAGATCCCGTTTCTGAGACTGGGGTATAATTGATGGCGGATGGCGAACATGTCTCTTTAAAATGGCTGTAAATAGATTTTCCAGGGCAAGACTTGTTTCTGCAGTTTAGTCCTTTAAAAAATAATTTCTATGCTATTTTTTTCATGACAAAGAGGATAATAATGATAATTCTACCAGTAAACTATTGTGGTAGAGAATAAATAAAACGCGGTGAAGGAAGTCAAGACTTGTAGATTAGAGAAGGAAGTTGTTTAGTCACGTTGTATAAATAATAGAAAAAAAAATGGTTTATCAAAAAGATTCATGATGTTAAATATTAAGTAGCATGAGATGATATAGCAATTCGTTTAAGGTAAAAGAAAATCGAAAAACAAATTTGGCCAAAATAGATAACTTAAATCGATGAAATGCAATTGACAATTATTTTCATCAGTTCTTCGGTATATTGACAAAATGTAGAAATGCATGTTTGTTTCTAAATGCCTTTGGTCAGATAAAATTGTAATTGTATTGTCTTCTTGATAACAAAGCATAACAATTTCAGTCGTTATTAGGCTTTGGAATTTTCATTTGCTTTTTCTGTTTCTATTTCAGCATAAGACGCCATTTTGAGTTGATACTTGTTCGAAATAGTATATCCATGTATCTTATGATACCTTCCCTATGCCGTACAAACAGGAAACCATGTTTTTTTTTTTGGTTGAGATCGTTTCGAACAACCCTCGTATCAAATGCTATTATGAGTAATAACACACCTGTGTCTTCGTGCTTAAAAAAGGACAGCAATTTCAGCCATTTTTGAGCTTTATAATACGTAATTTTCGGTATATACTTGTTCGAAATAGTATATTCACGTAATTTGTGATACCTTCCTTATTTCTTTATGCCTTATCAATAGGAACCTAACACACTTGTTGACTAGTCGTGTATAGAGTAAATTGTTGTGTTGCATCATTTGCAATATTTAAAGGCTTTTCACTAATAACATAGTTCTCAATGTATTATTCATTTTCTATGTAAGAGGAAGTTCCTCACATGATTGAAATTATGAAATTTTGAACTATTAATATTGTGAATGAGAAATAAAGATCTTTCCTATACTTTCATTGTGGCCAAGTATATTCAATCCTGTACAAGCAAAATAATTCTGTTAATCGAAAACCTCATCCAGGGAAAGACGAAGTAGAAAGTAGTTACTGTATAGTAGTAAGAGAAGTACCATCAGGTAATGTTATATTGTTTAACATTATACCTGATTCTGTTGACCAATCTTCACTATGTTAAATCTAGTAAGTTATCTTTTATTATAAATATACAATATTTATAAGCTTGAATCTAAATACATATAGATTATAGGCTTCACTCTGATAATTTCTGTCTCGTGCTCACTCTTCTGAAAAACCTGCGACCTTGATTGGCATCTGTTCAGCAAAAATATGGAACTCTTATCAATAATTAGTTACTTCAAGTGAATTTAATCTTTTAGTTGTTCATATAATAGTTATTGTTCATTTTCCATGTTATCTATTATTGTTGAGTGGCCTTGAATCCGTTTATCCCATTTACATCTTATGAGGTGCAATGTTTGGTCTTCAAGCTCTACAACTTATTTCGTTTCTCTCAATATGTATGCATACGAAACTATGTATGGTTCTTGCAAGAAAATAACGCTTAGAAAATTGTGATTTGTAGACTTCTTTGGAATAATATAGCTTTCAAAATTCAAATGGTGACGTTTGGTAATAACTGAAATCCGCCATTTTGTATTTGTCAAAGTATACATTAATACATTTTACCTTGCTTGAAACTACTGGATTCATTCTACTAGCTGATATTGTACAGAAAACCCATGTTTATTAAAACAAACTAATGCGGGGGTCGCGCAAGGTCGCTCATGTAAACTATTAAACATTTCCGGAAATCCACGAATAATAGGTTTCCACGAAATTAGGTTACTTAACTGTATATGTACATTAAAAAGCTGACATATATAATAGTGTTCTTATTTTTTTTAATTTCACCTTATACTATTTGTGAATGATTCATTCATTCTAATCAAGTAAATGCTGTTTTATTTCATACAGTACATACCATTGTAGTTTGGATTTTTTAACTTTAAGGTTCATTTTGTGGTAGAAATATCAGAGAACCTGGAAGACGAATAGTTCTACCTGGTTATAAAAGTGATTCGGAACCATGTGAATGCCAAATCACTTTAAAACGAATTAAATCTAATCCCGCTGCTACAATGAATATCTACATTACTCAAACCTATTATCCTAATAGTTGTAACTATAGTTTATTTTATTGGTTGGATGGTAATACTACTAAGGTAAAAAGCAAGCACGAGAATTCTACATTTGAAATGGAACTGACTGGTATCCTATATGTTCGGCTGGAAAATAAACTGATTGGTTCTGGAAAAGTATGTTTGGCTTTCACCACCACCTCAAAAGCAACAGGTATCATCTTCTAGTCAAAAATTCTCGCGTTCGGTTTTAATAAGGACATGTTTAACGCACCATTATCACATAACGAAATGAAAGAAGTTGAATTTGGAGGAATAAATAAGTCAAATATATAAGACAAAAACTAAATATCTTGTTTTTAAGCTGCGGTTATTGGTATTGACGATTACTCCTTCACATTCGACATTCATGATATTGTGGAACTTTTTTTAATAAACCTGTTTTTATACAAGTATTCGGAATGTTTTATGGTTTCTTTCAGAATATCTAGTCGATGTTACATGTGAGAAACTGAATACGAAAACTGAAACAATAACATTCATTCCAACCAGTTCAACATCACCTACCACAACATCTACTAGCACAGCATCAACTAGTATAACATCAACTAGTACAACATCAACTAGCACAACATCGCCTCTTAAAACTTCTGACGTATCTCGGACAGTAGACAGTATTTCTAACATAGAAACAGATGAGAAAACAGATGATGATGGAGATAAATTACTGTGTAAGTTTTGTTCAGGGTTCCTTATATCACGGAAGTTTGCATAATCAACCAACTCGTTGCATGTCGTGATACAAGATAGCTTGCTATGACAAGTTATAAGATGTAGTTCGTAGTAGCCTGACCACTATGAAGATGGGTTTCACTGTGAGTGAATTTCAGAAAGAGGTCAATATATTTTCCTAATGAATATATCAATAACATAAAGATAAAATAGTTTAATATTTCTAATATAAATATCATGTATTCTTGTATTTCATTTCATACTCATTAAGACGTAAAACTCCATTCCAGTACCAATAATTCTAGGTTGTATAATTGGAATATTAGTTATCATTCTTGTCATTATTATCACTTGGTGAGTATAAATTATTATTGTTTAGAAAATTTTACCGATTAAAGAAGAACTTGGTTTAAATCAAAGAATATCCACAGTTGCTAACAATTCTAACTGTACAATAATAGAGTTGTCTCCCCGATATTATATTATATTATAAATGCTGTGTATCCTGTAGAATCTAAATAGTATTAAACAATGAAGTTTTAAATTGTTTTCCAGTATCTCGTTAAGAAAAAGGAATTGTCAGAAGAACAGAGACTCAGAGAATCTAAACCATGGTTCCACCAATATGGCGGTGTACAGTAGCCTTGATGATAATCTGAATGACTCGAGTCAGTACGGACATATTGTAAGACAACAAGAACATGTTCCAGAACAACAAGAACAAGTTCCAGATTCAAGTAACGAGTACGCTAATATTCCGAAAAAAACTTTGGAAGGTCCGAATGACAATAGAATCGAATCAAACAATAATCCGA